CCAAGATAGAGACTGCCGAAGGTATTGCCGGATGTGATCTCGCCAGGTATGAAGAAATTATGCTTGCCATATTTCTTCGCACATTCGCGGAATGCCGCGGACATCTCACCCAGGGGCTCCAGGGTCGCCTGAACAGCTTTGTCATAGCGGAAACCATCGATATCCAAACTGGCAATTTGAATGCAGTAATGCCTGGTGATGATATCACGCACGGGCTTGTGCCATTCACGCAGCCGATCTTGCACCGAGGCGAACTTGGTGAGCTGGCGCTTCCAGTCAGGAAAATTGCCAAATGCCTCTAGTTCTCCATACTGATCAAAATCACTATTATAGCAACCCTTCAATTCTTCAACTCCGCCAGCCATCAACGGAAAGCCAGTCTCATTCCAGAATTTCGGATAGTCACAAGTTTTGTTGTACTCGTTGCTGAACTTGAAATCGGCATACTGTCGATCTGTGATCCACTCGACCTCATATTCGTCTGGCCGGAAATCGGCTGAGGTGTTGAGGTGGCCTTTGAAACCGATCAGGTTGCTCAGACTGCAATATCAAAGTAAGCTTGCGGTAATACATCGTTGACAGGGGCATACACTTACGTTGCCAGCGTATTGTCCATGAGCACATACATATCACGGTTGTGAATCTCGGTGATGGTCCGTCTCCAGTCCTCCAGTGTGCCATGGTGCATGTCTAGCAGAGTTGTATCGACCGGTGAGTAGCCATCGTAGGCCCAAGGGAGGTTCATCAAGCCTGTTCCAGCAAAGTAGATACCCTACATATGTAAGTAACAGATCAGACACGGAAGCGGTTCAAACGCACCTTGAAACCCATGCCCCTGATATAGTCCAGCGTATCAATCAGCCCAACCAGATCCCCTCCATGACGCATCTGGTTGGAGTTCAATACATGCTCGAAAGCCGTACCGTTGATATCGTCATTTGTTGGATCACCGTTGGCGATGCGGTCCAGGAAGATCGTGTAGATGGGGAAGCGCCAGTTGTCCGGCGAAGGGTGGTATTTATGATTCGGCCATTCTCCCCAGTAGTCAATCGGCGATTTCGCCGATCTGTTTTCGTTCAAGTTATAATCAACGAGCGACTCGGTATAGGGCCAACACAGTGCACTGACGCTCAGCAATGACAGGATGAGAGCGGCCGAGCGCTGCGTCTCCGTGAACATTTCTGAAGTGCCTTCAAGCTCTCGAGAGTCGTGAACAGGATCAGTCGATCATGCTCTGAGATGCGGAAGAGCCAAAGGAAGGATGCTCAAAAAACGAAAGACGAAAGAACGAGTGGTCTGTCAACTCAGAGGAAGAATGACACTGGAGTTGGAACAGCGGGGAGAAAAGTCACCCAGCGCTGAGCAGGCTGCGTCCAGACTATCCACTGTATGCAGGTGGCCATTGTCTCACTAAAACTCTTCCCAGTCTCCATATAATGACGACAGACTGGTGTCTCAATAATCAAACGACATGAGACATCTGGGACAGTTCCACAGCGGTGGGGTAGCAGTGGGCTGCCAACCACACGCCACGACATCACTTCGACCGTTTTCCGTGGCTATCCTGGGAGATTTTTCAAATTGGAGCCTTTAGTTGGCGATATTAAGTCGTATCTGCAGCTGTGTGGACTTCTCTGGACTTGTCTGGAGGGATCAGTAAGATTCTGTCAGAAGCCACTGCATGATTACGAAAGACACTGTAAAGGTACATCCCTGTCATGTGGTCTAGCTATAGGCAAAGAGTATCTTTTTCCTCGAGAACAACATCAACTGTCATGTTACCCATCGAATACATCGTATCACTTCTTATGCACGTCGTGTTAACCCACTCGACTTGATATTATGATCAAGATTACACTTTGTAAGAGGGCCCAATCGCGATACTGTGTTGGTGGGACTTGAACGGCCTCCAAGCCCAATGAGCAGTACCGTACGGACTAGTAGGTACACAGTAGGTGGTAGTAGGTAGTATCTACAAGATACGGGCTAAGGGAACCCGATCGACCCGCCATTCGCCTTAGTGAAGCAGTTGCTGTCAAGGCCAAGCAAGCAAAGCAGAAAATTCTAGCATAGGGCCGAGTTTTCGCCTATTAAGTCGAAACAAGCAACGGCTCCGTTGTGGACCCCCCACTCGGCGTGTGCATCCGTGCCGCGGTTATATTTATCGAAGCCTGAAGGGTCCCGTAAGTGGCGTCCACCTCCGACACCTAGCCAACGATCTTTCAAGCTAGACCTGTCGCCCTGGCTATGACTGACGATGGGATTTCAGGATGATCAAAATGACGGTTCCTTCCGACGCCTCCGACACCCGAACTGGCCGAGCACATCATTTCCTTTTCAGGTAACATGCCATACGATAGCCCAATTGGCTAATGAATGTGTACAGTGTAGAGAGCTACTACAGAATAGAAAGCAACATGACTCAGTTTGTACCAACTGGTGCACTTCGGGGACAACCTTACCTAGAGAGGCCACAAGGACGATCCGAGTCTAGATAGACCCGGAACACCAATAAAAAGCGATCTGGAATAGTATCCCGACATTCAATAACAGTTATGCTCATTGCGTACGACATCTTTCCAAGTAACAATACAGTATTGTCGCAGACTGCTTCTGCATGTCAGAATTCTATAGAGGGCTGGATATGCATTAAGAGTAAGAAGCTTGATTATCATTCCTTTAAGCGGGTCCAGCCACACACATAAACATGGCCGGATATCATGTCAACCAGGCAAAGCAACCAGTCCTTTCTGGTTTGACTAATTATAGATATTGCGAGATCCTACCATGCTTTGATCTACCACTCTACAGAAATTTCGTCGATTCTTATACCATTCTTACTCATATAACATCCTTTCTATTTATATTAGGTTATTGCTGCCTAGGTCATACATTTCAGCCAGACAACCTTTGGTCAAGTACCTATAAACTCATAAAGAGAATGGAGTTAAGAGGACAGACACTTCCGATGTAAGACCTAATCAGCAGCATACTCACTTCCAACTTTATATCAACCACCCTAGTCATTGTGCTTCTTAAGTCTACAAAGAGAGCAATGTCGGATATAACCCGGACAAGGATCTTCCCTGGTGGACACTGCCTGTAGAAGGCACCGGTGGTCTTTGCGGAGAATCAAGACCTGAACCAACATTTTGTCATGTCAAGGTTCTTTCATCCTGTTGGTCTTTGTCAAGTTGCATCTGTTAGATCGAGCTGTCATAGATCACTTTTCGACTATGTAGTGTTGAAGATTGGACTAAATCATGCGATTTAGGCTGTTACTGATACAAATCATTGGGTATACTATATGGGTACTTAAATTCTCCGAGGATCCAGAGTAACTTCGCCATACCGTCAACAATCAACCTGTAAAGCCCTTTTCTATGCTGATAATTCCTACTCGGAACGGTACCTTGTCGGTGTTCGCCAGGATAAGTCGCTTCGGACGAGACATTGATAAATCATACAACACTGGCAAGGCTGATTCTCGAGAATGATTACCAGGCCGATTTGTCAGCGTTTGTCCATTCACATCAACATCTATAACCCATCGAATTTCTTCTTGCATGATTTATTGAAGGTAATCCCTCCAAAGGAAAGTAAGAAAGCCATAATATGGAGCCGAAAACCCTGCCTCATCTACCAAGAGGTCATCCTTCTTATTGCCAACTATTTAGATCCTCATGACCTCCTCCTTCTTCTACACGCCATACCCAGTATCATACTGTTGCTGAACCATGCTCATCTAAGAGCCGTGGATAGCGAAGGCAACACCCTGCTTCACCTAGTGGCAGAGTACAACATTGCCAACGTGATCACCCAACTGAGCCCAGCCACCGCGGCAAAGACCATGAGCACGGTCAGCAACAAGGCAAATCTGAACCCACTCCACATAGCAGGTTAAAAGGGTCACCATGGCATTGAATGCTATCAACAGAATGCAATCCACCCCTGATGGACAAGTACTTTCAGACCCCACTGCACTATGCTTGCCTTACAAAGTAAGACAAAACCATGGTGCAGCTAGTCCCAGCTTATAGTGCTGACCCCTCAGTAAAGGACAAAGATGGCCGCACCCCAATGCACATATATTATATGACTGGGCAGGCTGCACTGCTGAAGACTCTCATTGATGCTAGCGCCGATGTTAATGCGCAGGAGGATGAAGACGTGGATTTCAGATTGAAATGGCGAACACTGTTACATAATGCGATACTGCATGGACAGATAGAATGTAATTAGCAAACACCATTACATAATGCGATAATGTGTGGACAGATAGAATGTGCGAAGATTGTTCTGGAGGTAGGGGCTGATCTGAACATGCCCCCTGGGACTGGACAGCGCATTATCAACACCGCAGTATTCAGTGGGGAGACAGAACTCTTGCAGCTGATGCTGGATAATGGAGCTGATGTAAATGGGGTGAATAGTGCTCAACTGACGCCCTTAATGTATGCTGCTATGGCGGGCAGGGAGAATATAGCGCGGGTTCTATTGCATGCTGGGGCAGAAGCAAACATGTGAGGACCTTGTGGTGCCACAGCCCTCCACAGTGCAGCCGGGAAGACCTATCATCAATTGCGAAGTTGCTGCTTGACGGGGGTGCTGATCCATCCATTACAGATGATTCAGGCTCTTCCCTGTTAGACTATGCTACGAGGAAGGAAGTGAATTTTAAGAAGTGGGTTTCCACATTGGAGTATGGGTTGGTAGTCCGGCTGCTGCAACAGGCGTAGGGACTATCATAAGCTTTATCAACCTCAGAAGTCATGTTTACTACACCAGACGTTGGTAATTCTTCCCTGCCCTAAATGCTTCTGACTGGTTATCTAAAAGCAACCTATAGATCAACATGAAGGTCATTAGGTTCACTGTCAAATCCGTCTTATTCTGCTTCTAAATACAATGAAAATCTGCATCGTCTTCAAATACCTCCAAGGACAGAGACAGAACGACAGTCACCCTTTCCTTACCACAGTATCAGTCGGCTCGGGCCATTATGCTGTCAACCCTAAGAGCCATCGCAAACCATTGACACAATCTTCTTGCGCTTGTCTCGACACCTCCAATTGAGGCGCATATACCCAAAAAATATGTGGCAGCGACTTCGACTTTGTTAGACATTTCTCCTCATAGTACCTATCGAGCAAAGGCATACCTTGTAGAATGAGACCCGCACCTCAATGTCTGCGTTCTGAAGACCTCGCACATAGCACACTGCGTCGTCGCGGAGGATATCGACATCACAGATCTGGACATACGTCTTTGGCAGTCCGTCAAATCGGCCCCAGAGAGGATAAGCCTCGGGGTGTGTTCCCTCTGCATATGGGACCCCAAGTAGATCTGGGGGGAACGTTAACAACCATACAAACCAGCTTTTCATTCCACACGAACCATGATTCTCCGCCATGTCTTGTCTGTCAAGCTTCTCCGTCTCCAGTTTCTCAGTCCACGACTGGTGCAAATCTCTGAAACAGGGTGGGATCAGCGCCGCATCCGTGCCACATACAGTCACCGGAGCGCGGAGCAGGACACCGCTAATAGTGATACTTGCAGCAGCAGTGGTCTTCTTTGGATCTCGCATCCAGTCTCTCGCCTTCTGCGAGACAATGGCGGCGAGCTGTCCGCCTGATGACGTCCCACTGACCACTACCCTGACCGAAGTGCCGTGCTTCGGCAGGAGGGTGGGGAGATTGGTGACAATGTACTCAAACGCATCCCATCCGTCGTTGATAGGGATAGGATACTGATGCGCCGGGCTGAGCCGATAGTCGACGCTGATGACAGTGCTGGGGCCACCTAGTGCCATGTGTCTGCACGAGACTTTGCCTCAGTCAGTTATTTTCCCTGTGGGCGAGAGTAGGTAGCATACTATCTTCCGTGTCGAGAGAGCCTTGCACGAAGCCTCCAGAGTGGTAGAATATGACAATCGCATCGGATGAGCGGTGTTTGGGAGTGTAAATCCGGACAGGGATCTGATGATTGTCCCTGGCTGGGACAGTTGTGTCAACGCTTGATACTTGTTCGGCAAGGGCACGACCTTCTGAGGAAGAGAAGAAACGCTCGTTTCTGTTCTCGTCGTCATGGCTGACAGTGGGATTCTGCGAGAGAAACGCAGTCCATTCAGAATGGAGTAAAGACATCATACAGTATGTGGCGGATTACTCAATGGTCCTGGTCAGAGGGAAGAGATATTCGAGCTGATATCGACAAGGCATCGCAGACTCCTATTAGAAGTGGGGTTAGGCAGCATATTACCATTTCTCGTATTCTGTAGTTTCCGGAGATAGAGAGCTATCGTATGGGGTCATCCCAGATGGTCTCGCCGAATATATCCCGTCCATCACTTCCCTCGTGCTCCTCTCTCTGTCCGTTGTTCAGCTGATAGCAGTTAGCTCATAGTTCTACTTGTACAATAGCAAATGAGCCCTGAACAATACACCCTGTGAGCTTGCCAAGCATCACTAATAGTTTCAGCAGATCCGCTCAACGAGGCTGGGTTCAGGTATCACCTCGACCCCGCAGAAACCTGGCCATAGACCTATATCTAGTGCAGATACATATATGTGATAGTCAGAAATGGTATGAAAAACGCGGCAGAGGGAAAAAATAAAATAAAAAAAGAAATGCGTTAGCTGGGAGTCGAACCCAGATCTATTGCTTGGAAGGCAATAATGCTAACCGCTACACCACTAACGCTGCTGTTATGTAATTCTGCTTCTAACAGTAATTGATAAGAAAGATTTAGTTCGTCATCGCTACCCAGCTACGCAGTTACTTCTCAATAATCAAAAACCAGAACCCTGCTGCTCCCATGCACATACATATATGATTAGAAAGACCATTCCGACTTAGAATAGACTTGATTATTTGTGTTCTTGTCAAGCCAGCCGAAAAGCAAGAGTTGGCTGTGGAGCAATATATATTCACCCTGACCTCCATTCCAGAACAATTCCACAGTGTAGTTCATTGACTGTAGGATGGGATAGCAACAGAATGTACCTGAAAACAGACTTTCATTAACTATACATGGGTATGGCGTAGATAAAATATCTGACAAGATCCGGTCAACCCAAAATAAGATCATAACAAACTAGGCTTAGAGGTGAGATGCATGTGCAGGTCATTCCATAGCCCTGGTATGATGAACTCCTTTTCCCCATACTTATTAGAGTGGACAGGATACTGGCAACTGTGATTTGATTCCGGTAGTAGTTTCCCAGATGTCCTGTATCAAGGAAACATATGAGTGTAGGCAGTTTAGATACAGTAATGAATTCTATCATCTCAGCATTAATAATATAGGTTCCACTTGGCCAGGAAACTGCTATGCCTTGAAGGAAGAGAAAGGATGCAAGCCTCCTTATGCTCTTCACAATGGCAATCATGTACCTAATACACCACCCAGGCACATCCATCAGGCTAATCACAATAGACCAGCTTCTATTTCCAGCACTCCCAGCTGTAAAGTCAACGCTTCTAGGACAGGGAACTGCTCAAAATATAACAGTTTACCTACAATGTCTGAGAAGGGGCACACCAGTTTTAATTTTATTTGGACCCTTTATTTGGTCTGATAATCCTAACAAGATTATCAGCATAGGTACTTAGTAGCTTTATAATAAGAACCACATAGCAGGCCGGCAGGCCCTAACTAGGTATGAGGATTAAAGAAAAATATTTTCACATCAGAGTGAATGGACCTGTGGCCTTCTGCATCTAACATCTGAACACTACTAATCAAGTACATACTGACAAATTTAGTCCACTTTGGTTGCTGGTTTAGTTTACTTATGCTGTTCTATATAGCTATGAGTACTAGCCCAGTGTTTCCTGCTTTGAAAAAGTATGATGCTACTGCCCCTTCTGAAGTCCACCCTGCATAACTAACCCCTCATCTTCTGTAATAAATATAAATTATATACATGATTAATCATGCAAAAGCCAGTAGCAACCCACCACCTGTACATAACCCGGTCTTGATATCTCGAGGTGGATATGACAGTGTAAAAGGCCAAGATACTCGAACTCATGTTGAAAAACAGGCCGGTCATGAAAGCAGAGGCACATTGGGCTCGCATCCAGATCCAGAGCATGCTTAGAAAACTTCCTGTTATCAAGACACAAGCCGTTGCATGTCGAAGCTTCGTCTGACCTTCCTGTGAAAGGGCTAGGGGCATTGTTATTGCATGTGTGGTGCGATCCCCTTCAACATCACGGAAATCTTGTAGGTGGATTGTGGCCAGGGTCCAGACACATGCTATCATATCTGGCTCAGGCCCCACCCCCCATTGATCTATATCCAGAATCAGGGTGTTAAGTAGGCGGAGCACTATGAAGGTGCAACCAGTGACCATTATGCTCTTTGTCAGCCAGTGGCGATAGGCAGGCCACACATAGAAGCCAAAAACCCAGGCCTGCTCTAGGGCCATATAAAAAGCCGGCCATTTCCCATAAAACAAAGCAAGTATAGAGGGCGCGAGACACCAGCTTATCAGCCAACGGACCCGGGCTTGCTTGACAGTAATGAGACCAGCTGGTATTGGCCGATGGGGTTTGTTCAACTTGTCCTCTTCCACAGAAGAGGTGGTGTTGGCAATGTCAATTATATATGTCCAAATAAGACATGTTATCAGGACATGTAAAAAGGCTGTGAACCCCGTTGCGAAAGGGACTGGGTGGACAAGAAGCCGTGGGATAAATCCTCCTAGGAAGCCAGCTAGGTTTACCCCCAAATTGTTTTTGCAGAGAGCCCAAGTAATAGCCAATTCATGTTTCAGAAGCATAAACAAAGAAGAGGCTTGGCCGAGTGGCTCTAGAGAGGTACGGCTTGAAAAAAATTCAGCATAGATTCCAAGATAAGAGCCGACCCTAAGCAAATTCCTCTTACTCTCTCTTTGAGACCCCTTCCTTGCTTGGAATCTTATTTTTAAGAGATTGCTGCAAAACCGCCATAGTGGGGAAAGGGAGGTATGAAAGGAATATGTGACTGCTGGTAAAACTTGAAGGTAGTTGATGAGGGTCTACAATTTACTTTTGTCCATCATAGCTACTTATGCTAATTCCACTGTACTGACATAGTGTCCATGAGTCCCAGTTTCAGCCATGTGGGCCATTTCTACTGGTTTAATAATGCTCACTTGACTGAATGCATAATGTTATCTAGATACAGCAAGTTGCATCCCTAGAATATCTACCAAAGCATAAATGATGGGATAGATTTTTAATAGGATGTGCAAGTTTACCTTAAAAACCTAACCCTAAGTCTAGGCATTGTAACTTACACATTCAAAGACAAGTATGTACTAGGGATTGGCTATGCCACAAATAATCTGTGAGCTGTGGTTTAGTGTAGTGCCACATTCTACTGAGTCATAGGCTGAGAATGATAGATAGTTGCGCTAAACATCACTAAAATGTCAGCCTCACATGAACTTATCACATCTGAAGCTCAGCCTGCTCAGGTCACCGGGCGAATAAGTGGCTAATGGCTGCATTCCTACCCAAACCCCTTGGAAGTGCAGAACTAGTTATAGGCTTGAGGCTTCATGATTGCCTTAATTAGTGTACAAATTCCGCCTTAACTATCATACTAAGCTCTTGTATCTCACCCAATCAAGTAGCGGTCTACATTTGATAAGTAGATTTGTAACAATTGGATTTTTGAAGAGATTGAATAAAATTCAGAATGTAGCTAATCCAGTTAATAGGATGATAGAAAGAAACATTCACCAGTGTGACAGTTAGTCCTGCTAAACTTTATAGTCTGCTCATATAAGGATCCCTGCATAGGTGGCGCCTTATCTAAGAATAAAGTTCATTTTCCATAGCCAGTAAAGAGATGGGATAGCCATCCGCTGGTTGTAAAGCCAATTAAAAATTACCACAAGGACTACAGAATATTATACCCACAGCTACTGACTCAGTGACCTGCCTAGTGCCTACATGTGAGGTTCTTTAGATAAGTCTGCCTTCAGATTAGGCAGGTAGTATGACAGGGCAGAAAGTTCAGAAAAACAAAAAGGTGGTGATAGTAGGGGCTGTCACAGAATGGTATATCATAAGCAAGTATAATTACGGAGCGAAGCGAAGCATGTCTTATTTAATATACTGTTTATTAGGGGCAGCTATAGGCTGGCTTTTTATAGTCATGCCTGCTATTTCCTCTTACCAGTACATCCTATCCCTTTAGGAATTTACTAGATAACAAAATAGTAGCTTGCTCACCCACATGAGTTATTAATGCGTGAATAGAACAACTGCAACTAATATCAAATGACTGGAAGGAAATTAGACACTGCACTACTGCGCAGCTCAAGCTGTATCCAAAATCAAGCATGGCGGAGACATGGGAAGATCACCAGACACTGTTGTAACCCAGGGTGATTACTATTTGTCATATCTCAGTCCCACCTCCGGCCCCTATGAGTCGTGGACACCGGTAATTCCTAGAGCAGGGCTCTGAGGAGTCTGGAAAGAATTGGATGTGGCATTTGCTGGCCGGGAGACGGAGACTGCTGCGGTTGTGGTGTTGGTTGTGGTGTTGGTTGTGGTGTCGCTTGTGATGTCGGTTGTGGCGTCGGCGTGGTGGTAGGGGGGTCTAATTCAGTCAGACAACAAGTCCATTGCTAGAAGTTGTATCTGTGGATGCGGCCAAAAGTAACATACCAGCGACACCGACACAGACGTAGTAATCTGGCAACAGAGATTGGCATGAAGTCGGCTTTACAGCGGGGTTCCACGAGTAGAACTGGTCCAAAGAGATTCCATATTGAATTGCAATGGCCCAGCAGTTGTCACCTGGCACCACCTTGTGATACTTGTTGCCTGTGGCGAGCAAGATTGTCAGAAGCAGTTCGCAGAAAGACATCAATGCTGGGTTTAATTCGGACTTACAGTTCGCTGGAGTACCCGACAGCACCGGTCCAGGGGGATTGGTGGGCGTAGGCACTGGGGGTTCCTCTTCCTGAACGCCGATGCATACGTAGTAATCGGGGTATAGGGCCTCGCAGGAGTGACCAACCGACCTTGTCCATAAATGTCAATATTGTCTTGTCGCCTGAGTGGTCGAACGGACTTACGGGTTCCAGCGGTAGAAATCGTAGATCGAAAAGTTACCGAAATTGTTTATAATTGACCAGCAACTGTCGCCCTTTTTTACTCTGTAGAAAGCATTGCAGTTGGCAGCCAAGCCGCCCTGCGTGGGAGAGGGCGGATCGGCAGGCTCAGCCACAGTTGCCATGTCCATACGACTCACTTCTTCGGCAGAATCTGCCGACCGCATCGTCAAGTCTGATGCGGCAACACAGTAGGAATGGCCAGTCTGAAGTCGACAGTTCTCCTTGAGAGAAGGGTTCTTAAACTCGCCGTCAGAATCATGGGCTAGCACATGTGTGGTCCAGTACTTACCCAGTTCACCAGCTCTTCCCTTGAAATGTCGAAGTACTCCTCTAGATCAGCACACTGGTCATTCTTTGCAACATCATTCACCCAATAGCCGCAGGTTTTGGCGACGCTTGCATCGGTTTGGCCAGTCGGAGAGATGCTGGACGGCCACCTCTTCACGACAGCCGAGTTAGCTGCACCTAGGAAGAGAATTTGAACAATGAGGATCGAAGTAAGTCCCATCTTGAGCCACAGTTGTTGATTGTGTTGTGAAGACAGAGATCATTTAGAATCTCGAGAGTATTTATACCTTTCAAGCTCACGTTCTCTGTGCTGAAGCGAAGCTGCATTGCTCGGTGTCGATGGAACCTCACGATGCATGAACCCTTCGTGACACCGCATAGCAAGCACACACTAGGGACATTGTATGCGTAGGGACTAGAAAAAGGGTCTAGACTCGCATTTGCAGACTACTCTGAGTACTGCAATGCGTTGAGCTTAGTCATTGTTTGTCGTCTTCTTCGATGAAGTTGCGCAACGTGGGAGCTCTGTCTTCCGTGGGCTTGATCTCCCAGAGAGGTTCGCCATCATCGTCAAATTCGGCCCACTGGAAAAAAGTGCAACCTTTCTTTCCTGGTTCATGTCCTGCATAGCACATCCACATATATCTACCCTTGTTCTCACGTTTGCGTTGCACACATCGCAAGATTGCATGTGTGCCACAACGGCACCGCGGAATGTTACGCGGGTGGAGGGCATCCCGATACCATCGATAGGTGATGTTGATACGCCGGTTACCTGACAACGGATGTGGTGAAACAGTCTGCGCGGGTGCAATAGCATGTTTCCATTCTTCCTGCATCTCGGCATGCATAACAAGGAGGGAATTGTGCGGAAGGTGTATGGAGATTTGCCCCTGCGCATTAGCACGAACATTAGTCCCCATCGACGTTGCTTTCCGTCTGGATGGAGAATCCGCTGTCGACCCCCTGGCTGACACTTCACTATCGTTCCCTTCATCGTCATCGCTCGCCACGATGCGTCGCACCCGGAACTCTCTTTCCACGCCTAAGCTCAGACTCCCAATAATAGCTCGCGGACCAAGGTAAGTCAGCTCATCCGAGTGATAGCCGACACTTTCTGTTGGACCATCATAGCAGTTGACGAATGCTGCATTAGGCACCCATTCCTTAGGCGACTGATACTTGAGCTTTTTCCCACCTGGGTAGCACGTTTGTATACGCTTCTGAACCTCGTCGTTCACTGCGCGCTGAACTTTGGCAGAGACGGCGCGCAAGTACGGCGTAAGCTGGCGCACGTTCGAACGGTATACGCCTCCATAGGTGTATTCCGACGTTTGTTGTCGGATCTCCTCAGGGGTCGAGACGTACAAGCTGCTCGTGTGAGGGCTCTCAACTGTACGATCAAACAGCTGAAACCTGTACCTAGAAAAGTGCTTCGACTCATCCAGAAGTTCCAGTAGTAGCGCATCTGCTTCATCTGGGGGCAAGAAATTATGGATGATGGTACACGGAGTATGAGCAGCAACATCTTCTGGAGAGAAAAGATGTAGCGTCTTTCCTTTCCGGGTGAGTTGCCTTTTTGGTGGCAATCCTGCCTCGGTTGTGATATGTGAGGCCATAGAGGTCTGGATTGCTGATACACCACCTGCTCTCTTTTTGGCTGGTCTATACGCACGCTGAGCGGTGATCACGGCAGATGCGTCTTCAACAGACCCGCCACTTGAAGTGAGAATGTCCAGTAAAGCATCTTGTTCTATGTCTGGGAAGAGTGATAGGAGTATCGCCAGTTTCATATCGGTGGAATCCTCATCAGGGGACAGCGTCTGCTGCGTAGCGGACGGACTCAGCCGAGGCCGCTTTCTCGAGATGAAGCGATCCATTCGACAGCCATCTGATTTCAGAATGAGCCGAAGATTATGTCCTGGTGCTGTAGAAGGCGAAGATAACATGAACCTACAGACCTGACTAATTCGTATAATGGCACGTGATTGCTTCAGATATGACCAATCAGAATGCTTTTTTCCAACATCATCTAATTATTCGCCATTTATGGAGTTCTCTAGAAGCTCGATATACACTATTCCATTTTCATGCCTTAACTCCAGTTACCGTCACCCAAGTAGACCTGACCAGATTTATGATAGTCTTCCAGACTTCTTCCCCGTCGCAGACCGTCATATACCTCCACGAGTGCCGACAATGCCACTTTTGTCCACCCAGGATAATCTTCTTTTGTTGGCTTCGAGTCACGACGATGTAAATCAGGATAGTTCTCCTCTATGACCTTGACCGGGCAAGTGGAGTAGTCCGCATCCTTCTCCACCATGGACGACATATCCACGGTCGTTGCGAGATGCGACAGCACTCCATCATCTATCATCAAGCACATCCGCATTCGGACAGGGAGTTCTATCGCGGGCAACGCTAGAGCTACCTTCCAATCATGAAAGGCTTCCTGGACAGTCTCCTCGTCAACGCCGTGGTATTCCTCCTGAGAGTTGAATACTTTCGAGGCGTATGTTGTTTCGAGCAGACGGATCTGTTCCGGGCTTCCTGGTAGACATCTCGAGAGGGCTTTCTGAATTTCTTCGTTGAGCGCTCGGAGGAATATCGGTATCAGCCGCTGTGAATCTGGCGCATATGTCGTGCGATACACGATGGGACCCCAGGTGAGGGTGAGGAAATCGCGTTCGGGGCCAGGAGGAAGGGATCGGAGTCCGGGTTCTGACCCGAGGCGATAGACCTCTTTCTGGAGAAACATATTGGCAGGAGAGTGCCAATGCTCAGGTTCTGTCATTTTCAAAGCTTGCCACTGGATGTATTAATGCTTGTAGATTAGCATTCTCAAAAGGTGGTCAGTATTCATCGATCAGTCAGTATGTGACTGAAGTGAAGCTTCTGCCGATTCGGAGTCATTGTCGTCAGAGTGACATCGTTGACGAGGACAAACAGTGCGCAACAACAAACGGACGGGGGTTTGAAGCAAATATTTTTATTGCTATAGATCAAAGGACAATTTCTGTCCTGAAGCCGTTCTTGCAGCGGTGACTAAAACATCAGGGAATGACGATGGTGGGATCTGCTTTGTTCCTCACTAAATTAGTTCCCCATCAGACCTCGGTTCTTCGCATGCGATTCTCCCCGCAATCTTCAACTTCATTCCTCCAGTGCCCTGCTGCGATCACAATAATGATACCCTCATGACCGGCCCTTTCTTCGGTTTATACTAATTCTTCTTCCCAAACACTATACCTCTCTTTTCCCACTATGCTTCATTTCCGCACCGAGGGCTACAACGGCTGTGCGGTCAAGTACTCCCCATTCTTCGACAACCGGTTGGCCGTCGCCGCGTCGGCCAATTTTGGGCTGGTAGGAAATGGCCGGTTGTTCATTCTGGAGCTGACGCCGAATGGCATCGTACCTGCCAAATGGTATTTCTCATTGTTGACTTATTCTCAACCTGAACTTATATTGACAACGATACCAGGTTTACTACACAGGATTCTCTTTACGATCTCGCCTGGTCCGAAATCCACGAGAATCAAGTTCTCACAGCCTCCGGCGATGGCAGCATTAAGCTCTTCGACTGCAATTTGGAAGACTTCCCCATCCAGAACTGGAAAGAACATAATCGCGAGGTCTTCAGTGTCCACTGGAATCTCGTAGCCAAGGACACATTCTGCTCGAGCAGTTGGGACGGCACCGTCCGCGTCTGGTCGCCGCATCGGCCGCATTCTCTTTTCACCCTCCCTACACATAGCTGCACCTACTCGGCGGCTTTTTCGCCTCATTCTCCCGATATACTCTCCTGCGTCACGTCCGACTCATACGTCCGCATCTTCGATCTTCGCACGCCCGCCTCCGCATCTAACCACCTCACCCTCCAGATTCCCATCCATGCTGCACCGGCATCGCCCATTCCCGGTAAAGCCGGCGTTCCTCCTGCAGCATGCGCTCCGGCCGAAGCCCTCACCCATGATTGGAACAAATACCGACCGTCCATCTTAGCGACCGCAGGGGTCGACCGCACCATCCGGACCTTCGACATCCGCGCCCCACAGCAGGGGCCTCAGGCGGTGATGACGGGACATGAATACGCGGTTCGGAAACTGGCCTGGTCGCCGCACCTTTCCAATATACTACTTAGCGGTAGCTACGATATGACCTGTCGCGCATGGAGCGATCAGACCACCGCAGGACCTATGGGGGATACCGATCCCATGCGTGGCGGTCCTGGCGGCCCGGTAATGGGCATGGAGCTGGGGCGTATGAATCGGCATACCGAGTTTGTCACAGGCGTTGATTGGTGTCTTTTTGGCAGTGAAGGATGGTGCGCGAGCGTAGGGTGGGATGAGAACTTGTATGTTTGGGATGTGCGAGCATTGATGGGATAAAGATGCTGTGATCTATTGTTTCTCCCCTTCTACCTATCCTGTATTGGTTATTTAGATTACCACGAGATACCATTATGACATGCCTGCAAGACAGCAATTCCAGCTTCCCCAAACAAATTACACGAATATGTAAAGTCCTATGTGAACAAGATATCTCTCGCAATTTTGTTTCATCAAGTCAAGTTACGAGTTCTATCCGATGATGTAATGATCGAGATACCTTATATGCAAGACGCTCTATTTCAAGACATGACTCGCCAAATATCATCAAAGCCTGCTGTTTGCAGTCCAAGCTCAAGCCGCTTCCACAATCATCATCATGTTATATCCATGATCTATCCATTTTTGGGAACGAGGCCCGGGTATAGGCGGTAAAAGCCGAGAGTTGCATCCTGGAGATATGCGCGTCCTGCTCAATGATGTTCGGCAAGAGGCCGCAAGAGCAGAAGGAAGGGTTGAGAAAGTGAACGGATGTGAGAAAATGACCAGCTTATTTACTAGCCAGTCTCGCCTCCACCTTCCTTCTCTCCGCCTCCTTAGCAGCAGCAATCTCCTCCCGACTAGCATCAAAGGACACATGCACCTGGTTGAACGGGTTCTCCTCGCTCTTGTCAAACTCCTTCTTGCAGAGCTCCACACGCTGCTGCCTCCGCAGCCCGGGGTTCTCCTTCTCAATCTCTGGCAACCGGCGCGCCTCATACGCCGCATACGCCGCTTTGTAACGGCGCTCGGGGTGACGATCGACCTTCGACGAGTCTTTGCTGGTCAGGGAGAGCGCATCCAGCGCATTATCGATACCCGAGGCGCTGAGCGCAGCGCCCTTGCGGCTGGCGGGCTCATCATCCAGCTGCGCCAAATCCAGACCGCGAGTCTTCTTCTGTGCTTGCTTGGCGCCGGCACCCTTGGGCTTGGAGGGTAGCGAGGCTTCTTCGGCGGCGAGGAGGGCCTCTCTCTCGGCCTTCTTGCGAGCGGCTTCGGCTTTCTTGGCTTCTGCGTCTTCCCTATATTTTGCAGATAATGTTAGCAAGCCGCTACTTATTCATCACTATGAACAAGGGAGATGCGATGTCGCTCACTTCTTCGAGCTGCCCTTTGCGCCCTTCTGCCACTCCTTGTCCTCATCGGCGGCTCGCTTGGCATCCTCAGCCGCTTTCTTGTTTGCGGCGGCTTCGGCTTTCTGTATGCAAATCGTGGATCGTTAGTCTCAAGGCTCCTTATCCTGATATAGAAAACATGCTCGTGGCGATGGCAGAAAAAAGGCGGGGGGCGGGGTTGGGTTGAGATACATACACGAGCCTGTCCGGCTGCTTTCTTGGGGTTTTCTCCAGCGGCTTTCTTTCCTCCCATTTTGAGCGTCGACTATAATTCAAGTGTGAAACCTTTTTGAGGAAAGTGCAGGGGGAAGGAGAGAAGTTGCGCTTGATTTGAGTTGTTGTGATGGCGAGTCATCCTATGGATACTCTTGCGGTTCCGACCGACGGCGGTGACTCGATGACTAAGCGGCTTATAGGGCTGACGTAGCTGACATGTGATTTAGAAAGCCCTCTGGAGCTTCGATGGGATTCGAGATCTATGAACGGGCTTCTGAGAAGCATGAATCAAATCCATTTCATTGACTCTAACATGGTGAGTATAACACAGACAAATGATCGACAACCTGTGGTTCAATATGCGAAACAACCTCAAACAAACATTGAATGCACGCTCTGAACGGGGAAATGATGAACAATCAAGGAACAAACTCCACATAGATCCATAAGCATTGCAGTGATCGAATCCATCATTTCATATAATCATCAGTATTTTTCAAATCATCCACTCGGTAATCATCTCAGAAGTCGGCGGCCAAATCCGTTGGCACGATTGTCTCTATCTCATCCTTTGCTAACCTCAACCGCCGGACTCGTGGGTTCAGATCGCTCAATCACCAGATCTAGACTTGCAGGAGACGTTTCTATCCCCCGCGAACTAGGTTCTAACCTTTTCGGATCAGCGGCGCTCTTGGAAGATGCTGTTGTGGAAGATGCTGGAGCAACAATCTCAGCCGTGGGAGCAGCAGTGCTGGAGGACGATGCAGTAACAGGCTCAGAAGCTGCTGAAGGAATAGCCCGAGGGGTTTTTGAGCCGGTCTCTTCTCCCACAGTTTCTTTATGAAGGGTGGGAGTTTCAACAGTCATGGCAGGTTCTGCTGCCGTTAAAGAAAGCACAGTAGAAAAACTCGGCTGTCCTGTCCAGCTTGGAGTTGTATGTTTCTCCAGTGAAACGGTAGATGAGAGCGCAGGCATGGGTTCGAACATATCCCCGGGAAATGGTCGAAGGTGCGAAGAGGAGGATTGAGGTTTGACCCCAAGGGCAAGGTATACCGCCAGCACACTCAAAAGGACAATTGTCACGTTGCGACGGTCACTAGCCAGTACCCGGATGTAGTTGATGAGCAGCGTTTGCAGGTCGATTTCATCAACTGACCTCGGAGAATACGTTGGGGGTGGCATGGCTGGAGCCTTCGCTGACACTGTAATTCCTGAGGCTGGTGATGAGGGACGTGCAGACTCCTCTGGAACAAACAAACTCGGTTCATGAATCAATGGGGTAGGTGTATTCGTGCGCGACGATTGATCATACAGCTCTGCGCCGATGCTGGTGGCAGGTTCCCTGAGTTGCGGCACCTGTAGCCTAAAATCACTGCTAGAGGGATCATTATCCAAAAGCCGCTTTTCCAGCTCCCGCCTAATCTCAGACGGGAGCCAAAGGCCGACTTCAACATCCACCTTTTCCATCTCCTTCCAGGCCGCAGCCCAGGCGCCGGCTCTCATCAGCCCGTTCGCGGCGAAGACCTTGATCTCCCACTTCCTACTCGAATCGTGCCTAGGGAATCGTCCTCCGCAATCAGGACACTCTTCGCCTTGCTCGTCATCAGTGGCACTATCCTCTGTGGCCGACTGATCGCCTTTCTCTGAAGCCGTGTCCTCATGTCCCACAAAGTGGCCATGATGGAGCCGCGGGCGCTGAAGTTCCAGGCTTTCCAGCAGTCGTTCCTCAAGCAGATCATACATATCCTCCGGGTGAGAGATGAGCACACCCCGGTCACGGAGCACACCGGAACCAACCTTCTCCTCCAGCAACTTCCATCGCCTCCAGTACTCCGGAGGCAGCACCTCTCTCAGTATCTTTTGGTCCGGGTATCCAATCAAACCTGGCACAGGCAGCGAAGGTGGCAGCAAGGTGCAGTGGAGCAAAACAAGCGGAAACTCCTTCTTAACTTTCTGTCTCCCCGTAGACCCGGTAGGGGAGTAATAAGGCGATCTCTTAAGCGGGGACGAGCCCGCCGAACGAATTGAGATATCCGACATCCGATGTCCACCCCTCCGCTTAGGCGGGGTCAGGAACTCGTCATCATCCTCAT